ATATGAGTATTGCTACTCCAGCTTTCTTTGAAATTCCATTTGCATGGAATATCTTTTTCCATCCCCTCACTTTCAGTCTGTGTGTGTCCCTAGGTCTGAAGTGGGTCTCTTGTACACAACATATATATGGGTCTTGTTTTTGTATCCATTCAGCAAGCCTGTATCTTTTGGTTGGAGCATTTAATCCATTGACGTTTAAGGTAATTATTGATATGTATGTTCTTATTACCGTTTTCTTAATTGTTTTGGGTTTGTTTTTGTATGTCCTTTTCTTCTCTTGTGTTTCCCACTTAGAGAAGTTCCTTTAGCATTTGTTGTAGAGCTGGTTTGGAGGTGCTGAATTCTCTTAGCTTTTGCCTATCTGTGAAGCTTTTGATTTCTCCATCAAATCTGAATGAGATCCTTCCTGGGTAGAGTAATCTTGGTTGTAGTTTCTTCTGTTTCATCACTTTAAGTATATCATGCCACTCCCTTCTGGCTTGTAGAGTTTCTGCTGAGAAATCAGCTGTTAACCTTATGGGAGTTCCTGTGTATGTTGTCATTTTTCCCTTGGTGCTTTCAATAATTTTTCTTTGTCTTTAATTTTTGCCAGTTTGATTGTTATGTGTCTCGGTATGTTTCTCCTTGGGTTTAGAGCCCTGTATGGGACTCTGCGCTTCCTGGACTTGGGTTGCTATTTCCTTTCCCATGTTAGGGAAGTTTTTGACTATAATCTCTTCAGATATTTTCTCGGGTCCTTTCTCTCTCTCTTCTCCTTCTGGGACCCCTATAATGCAAATGTTGTTGTGTTTAATGTTATCCCAGAGGTCTCGTAAGCTGTCTTCATTTCTTTTCTTTCTTTTTTCTTTATTCTGTTCCACAGCAGTGAATTCCACGATTTTGTCTTCCAGGTCACTTATCCATTCTTCTGCCTCAGTTATTCTGCTATTGATTCCTTCTAGTGTATTTTTCATTTCAGTTATTGTATTGCTCATCTCTGTTTGTTTGTTCTTTAATTCTTCCACGTCTTTGCTAAACATTTCTTGCATCTTCTTGATCTTTGCCTCCATTGTTTTTCTGAGGTCCTGGATCATCTTCATCATTATTCTGAATTGTTTTTCTGGAAGATTGCCTATCTCCATTTCATTTAGTTGTTTTTCTGGAGTTTTGTCTTGTTCCTTTGTCTGGTCCATAGCCCTCTGCCTTTTCATCTTGTCTGTCTTTCTGTGAATGTGGGTTTTGTTCCACAGGCTGCAGGATTGTAGTTCTTCTTGCTTCTCTGGGAGAACTTTTAAAGTGTACTGAGTTCAAGGTTCTTGTGGAACATCCAAGTGGAGTGAGATGTGTAATGGGTATTGGGCATATGATCTAGAATTCCCACCATTAGTGTCAGTTATGGATCATGGCACAAAAGGCAAACAGAAGTTTTCTTTACAGAAGCCAGCATGGTTAAAAAGGCAGTGTGGCATAATGAAAAGAACTCAGTCATGGGATTTAGACAGACTTGGATTTGAATCCTACCACATACTACCTGTGTGATATTAGACAACCACTCTGAGCCTTTTATGCATGGATGGGCACCAAAAAAAACTGTCTACTTCACAGCTTTTTGAAGGCCAGAGTTCACTGCCTAGGGTCCCATAGACAGGTAGAAGTTCATTCCCTCTACTGAAAATGAGAGGATCTGTGAAGGCTCAGCCCAGCTTCATTGTAATCTACATGCTTCCTAGCTTAGAACTGTATAACATCAGTTTTATAACTCTAGATCTGGGTTGGAGCAAAAGGAAAAGAAACTCGGAGGCGAGCAAAGCATTAGATGGAACTTGGCAAGTCTGGTTGGAGAGAAGGAGGGTGGCTGGGGGCTGGATCTCAGCATGTACCACATAAGTGCCAGGCTGGCTGCTATTCTTATAAAGTTGGTCGAGGTTTGTTTTGGGTGTTGTTAGCCATTTCACTCCTTGCTTCTCTCCCATGTCCCGAGCGTATCAGAATTTAAATGATGTCATTCCCTATCTTTCATCCACACTTGAAGCTTTCTTTAACACTAAGGTATAAATGACTGATAACAGTTCAGAGAAAAGTAGAAATATACTCCTACTAGTGTGGTACCACTTCCCTTTCACATACCCTCAGCAGTCACAGTTCACAAGTTATAGCTTCCTTTCCTACTAGTTCTGACTTCACGGTTTTTTTTCAAAATAATGGTCTGACAGTTACTACAAACTAAAAAGGCTTACTAAGGATGATGAAACTCATTTACCATCATGGGGATAGAATGTTGTCTTTCACAGTGAGTATTTATTTGTAGTGAGAAACACCAAAGGGGTGGAACTCTAATATAATTTCAGGTGACACATACTTATAAAGGGGACATTTGCATGCAGAACTTTTTCTAGGGGCCTCTGTAATCCAGTCTCCCACTCCATTTGTGTATAGTATTTGGCAAATAAGTTCTCGATAAAAGTTAGTTAGATAAATAAATACATGAGTTGATTCCTAGCGACTGCATCATCAAAGCATTCTCATAGATGTGTGTCGATTTCTGTGGACTAGACCAGCTGCAGCATTCAAACAGAAATTAGAGTTTTGGTAGACAGTGTGCAAGCATGGAACCTAGAGTTGGACAGGAATTTTCTGTGCTCATTTGAAACTTGGCTCTGACTGTGGTTTCTCTGTCACAGATTTTGGGATAGCAGAGTGCTCCCACAGGGAAAGCCATGTGCGCTGACATGGAGACCGAATGGAACCTTGGCTAGGCTAGGAGTTGTTGCTATTTTAGTCACTTCCAGATGTCTGCTATTGGAGTTTTAAGGGAAAGGGAAAGATGTGTGGCGTGTGGTGGGCCACAGGGTGGAAGGGGAGGGGGAGACCTCTTTTAAGCCTTTCATTGTGTTTAAAACCACCCCTCAATATGCTACTGAGATGGATTGGATAAGGCTTTTAAAAATTGTGCACTTCAACAGTACCTCCTCTTTTGTTTACATGCTTCACTGCATATGTAGAAATAGACCAACTGAAGAAACCTTTGCGAAGTAATCAGGATTCCAAAATAAGGGCTCTTACCCGCATTGGTTGTGATCTAATATTTATTGAGTGCAGCCGTTGAACATAGGCTGAATGACACATACACCAGGTGAGTTAGCTGCCCCAGAAGCTACTGTGCTAACCTAACAAGCTCACCAGATGTTTGTTACATATCTACTTTCTCCTTTCATGTTATTTTGGAGGTGGCTTTTAATCCCAATACTGTCACTATGAATTAGAAAAAGAAGTCAGGTTGTAATGTTTATGTATGTGAAGATGAGGCCCTTTGAAATCTTTTCAAAAGGGGTGTCTAGATCCTTTCCAGGAGGTCCTGGCACCCACTCTGAACCAATCCAGGGGTCCAGGGACTTCTTGTTTCTTTGGTTTGCTGGGTAGGTATGGCATTAGTATGATGCAAATCCTGGTAGGCAAAGAAAGCATAGGAGAAGCAGTATAGCACAGTGGTTAAGCATATGGATTTGAATTAGACAGACCCTGTTCAGGTTCAGACTCTGTCACGTACTAGCTATGTGAACATGGACAAGTTACTTAACTTCTTTAAAGCTCAGTTTCTTCATCTGTAAAATAGGTGTAGAGCTATTGAGTCTTCTTCAGGTGGGGAAGTGATGGTAAATAACACCCCCTACCTTGTCGACCCAGGTTGTGAGCTAACCAGAAATAAGACAAAGGGTTAGACAGATGGAGGTCAGCACGCCATCTTTATTATTGTTAACGCTGATATTAAAGAATATGGCATCTTTTTACGGGCAAGTGAGCTTCAGAGGCAGACCTTCCTACCCAGCAGTCCTAGACCAGGACAGGATGCCCCTCACAGGGGCAGAGCACAGCATGGGATCTCAAAGGAGGAGGAAGAGTGGTGCCCCACATCATCCCCATTCCTCACCCATGCTCTACTGTCAGATGAGTCTCTCCTCCGTGGGGTTAGTATGAGGCAGTGGAGAGGGGCTGGGAGTTTTACAGTTACGGTTTTTCTCTACATGGCAAGTAACAAGTGTAGAGGAAAACGATTGCCCCTAACGGCAGCCACTTCAAGAGGGTTCTTGTGAGGATTCTGTAAGAAGAAGTAAGGTGTTCAGCACATGCTACCGGCTCAAAAAATTTTATTGATTGATATTATTACTGCAATTATCTTCTCACTTCACAAAGCATAGTCGTTTTAAGTTATTGTCAGAGAGATGAAATCAGAGAGAAGCTGGGGAAGTGGATATATAGTAATACAGAAACAATGCTGCCAAGCTAAGAGTGAAGAACACAATGAATGAGAGAAGGAGAGGAAGATGAAGACTATTATAAGGGAAGCAACATCAAAATATGCCATGTTCTGTGTATAGAGAGCAGTTACTCAGGTGGCCTTGGAAGATGGTGATTCCAACCCTGGCAGATAATTTTTGGGAAACAGAATGTAATTTCATGAATAAACATGCTTGTTAGGGGATAATAGTCTTGATGAATGGAAGGTTGTGCATATTGGTTCCAATGTCATCTCACCTGCTCCTTGTTTTTGCTAAGTGTGAGCTGAGATGTGGTCTCTGTGGCTTATGAAGAACCAATCTAACTGTGGCTCAGGTGACTGGAAGTGGAAACCTGCCATGACACTTTGAGGAAGCACATTTCAGATCCTCCCCCCAATATTAAGCAGGCTCTTAAAATTGTAAATTTAATGACACCATGAAGTGTGTTTTGATGTTTCAATCAGTGGGCATTTCACAGTAATGGCTCCACAGCTGAGCAAGCCTATAGTTGGTTAAAAATTTGGCCTATTTAGAAGTCCCTGAATTTCAAGTAAACCAAGAGACTGTCAATCAATGTGGAAGCTGAAACAGTCACTCCATGAAGCAAAACAATAGGGCTCACGTCAGAGCCATCTCCCAAGTTTGAAAATTAATGTCATTTTGTTATTCCTCTTAGAAGTCGATCTTTTTTCTTTGAGTTGCTCTTCACAGCATCTGTTAAGTGACTTTGTTGTTGGATTTTAGGGATTGGCTCAATATTCCGTCCTCTTTTACGGCTATTACGACAATAAACGAACAATTGGATGGATGAATTTCAGACTGCCGCTATCCTATTTTCTGGTGGGGGTCATGTGCATTGGATACAGCTTTCTGGTTGTCCTTAAAGAGTAAGTTTCATTGGTCTCTTGGGAAGCAAGCATTGATTTCTGGAATCAAATGGAAAAATTAACTTGAGAATTGGATTTTTTTTTTTCTGTTTCATGTCTAGAGAATGCAGAGTATTTAAGAGATAAAATGTGGTTTTAATACCTACACTAATGTTAGACTATTACATCTCCCAAACAAAAGGGTTGAACACAAGTGCAGGACTTTGATCATCTCACTGGGTCACAGTGATGGTTGCATGCCTATCCTGTGGTTAAGCATATTTTAAAATTGTGCTTTTTTGTACTTTAAGGTGTGAATCAATGTTTCAAACAAGACAGGGAAACAGCTGCTGACCCCTCTTTTTGCATACAGAGAGGTTTGTGAGTTGCAGAATCAGCTCAATAGACAGAATCTGTTGTTCTCTGTTCATTAAAACAAACAAACAAACCAGAATAATCACTCATCCAAAAAATTTCAGCTGTGTAAGACAGAAAAACAAATGGCCCTCAAGGAGACTGTCATGATCAACTATATAGTCATGTTTTCTTTTTGAAGAGGATTTATTAGAGCATGGAAAAGAATTTCATTGGGGAACTGATGAAACTGCAGCTCATTTTTTCTCCCTGTCTGAAATATATTTTTAAAACCTCACTTGAAGACACTGCAGAAACCTAGCACAGTCATTTAGGGCTATAAATAATATGAATAATCCATCCTTTAGCTAATTTTCTGAACCAGTTTAGCAGGTGTTGAAACATCTCAATTAAAGTCTTCACCCTTTTATTTAACTATGCACAAGGTAAATTGACCTTTTGCTTCATTGCAGGGAAGGACCTCTACCTGAGGGTCCAAGTCCTCTTGAGCAGGAGCTTTCTGGAACAGTCTTTGGCATGCTTTGTGTCCTGTCCCTGCCAAACTTATTGGTTCCTCCGGAGAAAACTATTATGCTTAGTTTTTAAGCCCTTTCAGGACTTGAAAAAGGCCTTAATGGAGATCCCATATCCAAATTCTTTATCTAGTTGTCCAAGTGTAGTCAGAGACCCTAAGTATGTAAAGTGTCTGTCTACCTGATCAAGTACTACCACATTCCAAAAAATCTAAGATATTTCTAGTCTTTTGGCCATTTTGATTTGGCAGGACTAAAGTCAAGGGTACAGTTACGTTACAGAGGCCTTGTGAGTATCGTTTCCATATTGGTCCTTTAGTCTCCATAGTCACTGAAGAAAGCATGTCTAGGGATGTCCAAGTCCTCAGCTTCTTTTAGTGACTGTGCAGAGGCTACATACCCTAGTGGGCTCTTGAGCCATTCTTCATGGAATCAAATACCAGCTCTAGCCCATTCTAAAAGAACTTTGACAACTTGTTCAACTGCTCTATTTTCCCATTTCTAATAGAGGTGTAATGACACCTTGATGTTAGGATGGCTATGAGGACAAAATGAGTCAGTACATACAAACACTTAGAACATAGTTGGCATATGGTGATTGACAAATGTTAACTGTTTTATTAGGATTATAATTCATAGGCTTGTTGAAAAACCAAACAAAGCCAACATGGTAGGAATTGAGGTCATATGATAGCCCCAGCAGTAGGGTAGTCACATATGGTTATGTAGTTATACATTAATAGATTTGCACATTTATTATAATAATTTTCTGGCAGATGAGTGTAAAGCATCTAGAACAGCATTATGCAAAGAACTATAAGACAAGGTACATATAATTTAAAATATTCTAGTAACTATATTAAACAAATACATAGGTGGAATATATTTTAATAATATATTTTATTTAACTCAATATATCAAAAGTATTCCTTCAACATATAATCAATCTAAAATTATTATTGAGATATTCTCTGTCTTTTTTGGTACTAAGTCTTTGAAATCTTATGTATGTTTCACACTAGTTGCATTTCAAGTGCCCAGTAACCACATATTGCTAGTGGCAAACTTATTAGCTAGTGCAGCTCTGCAGGAAATGGCAGCTTTTCCTATTAGCTCAAAGATGCCATTTAGGATAGCTGTAGGGCACAAATTCTACATTTTCCCCCTCAAAGTCATCCATGTTATGCCACCCAAACCAGCCTGATTTTGGTCCCTCCCTCTGGCAGGGGACCTTTGGTTGTTCATTACCAGATTGGCAAGTCGTTTAAGTTCACTGGCCTATATGGCAAGACAATTCCAAAGCAATTTATGACTCCTACCCCACTCCTAACCCTGGGGGCAAGGCTTGGTAGAACAACTGACGAGATATAAATGATTGTTCAGAATCCTATATCATCTCTTTCCCCCACCACTGGCCCCAAACAAATACATTCTTGGAATAAACATGAGTGGCTTTATGGGATACATGACTCAAATCAAGGGAAACTAAAACTGAATACTGACATCAACTAGGCAACTGGTGGACTTTGCCCTCTTGCCCATATTCTTTGTCTTCAGCATCCTCATCCATAAAAGGGAAGCAAATATCTATATTTGATTAATTAATAGGGAAATTGGAAGGAAAATTAAATATCCAAGAAAGCACTTTTAGATTTTAATATAGGGTGACTAACTTTGTTGACCCAGGACTCTCCTGGCTTTAGCATTGAGTCTTGTGCCCTGGAAACCTACTCAGTCCCTGGCAAAGCAAGACTTCCATCATTCCTTGCAAATTGTATGTTGAGGTAGCTTCTCAAAGATATAGTTGTTCAAAAATATAACCCCCTTGAAAAAGGAGGAATTTTTGTTTAAGTATGTACACTTTTTTTCTCTACAGACAAGGAATGGAGCTGTACATGAAATATTTTATAGCTATCAGGGCCATCTCTTAGTAAAAATGTGTTGTTAGCAGAGGTTGTCTTCAATATCCTTCCTCCCTTTCTTGTCACTCCCTTTTAGTATTTCACTCCCTTTCTTGTCAATTCCCACATGCTAGACGTTCCCTGTTTGCTTGTCTGGCTAGAGCTCCGTTCTCTGGAAGGCTGTCTACAGCTACAGAATCTTGCCTGTGATAAAGCTCCATTCAAGACTTATCTGTCAAGTGGTCAGTTTTACTTGAGGCCCTGCCCTTTGCTCAGTGACAGTGCAAAAAGGGGTGATGGCATCTTAATCAAAAAAATCATTTTCTCCCTAGGTTAATCCCTTGGAAATGTTTGATTTCAACCCTTTTTGACCTACAAAAAGGCATTTTGTATGGTTCAACATATTTCATGGTGTCCTAGCTTGGGTACCAGAATGAAGTCAGAAAACCTAAGCCCTTGACCCACCCCTGTGGTTTACTTCTGTATAATGGCCAGCAAATCACTTGATAATTTTATCCTTCGGCTTCCCCAACTGTAAAAAGAGAATAATATTAACTACTGTGACCTCTTGTTAACTTTTTGAGAAGGACAAATATGATAATACACATCAATACCATTTGCAAAGGGTAAAGTGGTAGATTGATGTAAGGAATAATTATTTTTTGTTATCTTTCAAACACATTAGCCCATCTGAAATATATAAACCTCTGTAAGGAATAGGACTAAACAGTGGGGGAATTTAGATGACCTTAGAGATACCTGCCAAACTACATTGTCAGCTTTATGTCATTGTACTCCTTTCTTTTTTCAGTTCCATATCACTGCAATATTTAAAAAACTAAAACCTTATGGGACCATTTTATAATATATATCATATAATATTTTAATTTTGCACTTTATAGTGGTAGGGGAAAAAAAGGAAGTGGAGTAAGTGGAATATAGATCCTTAACCACTGAAGTAAGTAAATGTACTTTAAACTGTCCAAGCAAAAAAAATTTAAAACATCACTGATTAGAATATATGTAACCACTTGCTATTAAGTTGTATAAAAATCTTGATTTTTGGTCAAGAGTTGTCAAGTATGGAAAAATTCCATGCATTCAGTGTAATCACTCTTTGGAAGGAGATTCCAAGGGGAATTGGAATCTGTGAAGGAGTTTCCTGATCTGACCTGGGTTAATCCATCCCTAGGCTTCACAGGGTCTGGAAACCAGCTAAAATTGTGTACAACAGTTTAAGAGTCTATACATATGTTTTTCCTGATGAGGGGCCTGGTGGTTTTCACCGGATTTCTAAAGAGATCCTTATCCCACAGAAGTTTCAGAGCCTCGTATATGACCCTAGGAAAACAGTTTAGGAAAACAAATAAAAAAATACGTAATTTTATATAACCTGTTTAATTGTTAAAATCATCAATGGTTAGTAGTCTTTTAATCTTGAAGGCCTGGAAAATGAACAGCTTAAAAAATTAAAACAAAAAAATATTTTTTTAATAAACTTTTATTTTCTGGTTATTAGAACAAACTTGTTTGAAAGTATATGTCTTTTAGATATTGCTTCTCCAATTTCCTTATAATTATGATGTTTCTCTAACCTCTCCCTTTCTGCTTGTATTCTGGCTGCTGGATTAAACTTCCTGTTTGTATAGGATGACCAAAAATATTGGTGATGATGGAGGTGGTGACGACAACTCCTTCAACTTCAGCTGGAAGGTGTTCACCAGCTGGGACTACCTGATTGGCAATCCTGAAACAGCAGACAACAAATTCAATTCTATCACAATGAACTTTAAGGTAAAAACACCAACTTCAAGAGCCTTTTCTTGGTATTTCTAAGAGTAAAATTGGAGCCATTCCAAATGGTCTAGGTAGCAAAGTATCTTGACAATTAAAAGAAAGATTAACTCATCATTTCTTCCTACCAGGATCTGGGCAGGGTTCTGATTATGACTGGAAAATGATTGATGACCCATGACAGCATTACTTCTCTCTAAATTTGGTAATAAAACAATGCCATTGGCTTGAAACAGCCAACCATTAGTAATCAGAATCAGATACTTTAAATAATAGAACAATGCTCGCTAATTATTTACAGGAATACATTAGCCCAATATTTTAAATGACTCTAAAGTATTATTTTGTAGTTGTTTTAAAAAACTGTACTAGAAGAGACTTTAGAATGAAGACTATCTTAGTAAATATTAACTCAACCAGAGTTTGTTTGTAAGAATTCTTCCTTCTCTATCTTACTTTTTCTCACTTGCTGGCAATATTCACCTGGTTTGTGGAATCCCAGATTCAGTTTACATTTTCATTCCTCACTTTCTGATGTTTGCAGAAATAATTCCTGAGTTCATGATGCTTTTTGTAGCTCAGATATTTCTTTTTTCTTTCTGTTTTGCCTGGGTACAGGAAGCTATAATAGAAGAAAGAGCAGCCCAAGCAGAAGAAAACGTCCACTTGATCAGATTCCTGAGGTTTCTTGCTAACTTCTTCGTGTTTCTAACACTTGGCGGGAGTGGATACCTCATCTTTTGGGCTGTGAAGCGATCCCAGGAATTTGCACAGCAAGATCCTGACACCCTTGGGTGGTGGGAAAAAAATGAAGTTCGTCTCTGCATGCTTTTTATGTGCTTAGAATCTGACATTTGAGATTTTGTGGGTTGTGCTTCAATGTTGGGATATGAAATATGGCCGCTCTTTACCTACCTCTGTCATCCTGACCTGAGAGTGAACCAACCTCGGCACACGTATCCCTATTCCAGCCTTACTTCCAAATCTGTCTACTGTCTGTTTTTCACTTTGTGACATTAGGGAAAGGTAGAGTTGGAAGAGAGATTAGAGCACATATTCCAACCAGTACGTTTTATAGACAGAGATAATGAATCTCAGATTAGGTGATGTGTTCATGGTCTCAGAACCATGGAGAACAATGAGAGTTAAAATTTAGGAATCTTGATTTCAAGCTCAGCACTCTCCATGACGCTATGTTGCTTTCTCTGCAGGTCCTGCATCTATCTCTGAAAGATCCAATTGTCCCCTGAATTCTTTGAAGCAGCAATGATAAAGCCCTGGGTTCTTATGTTTATTTCACTGGAAACATTCAGATTGCCTCCCCCACTTTGGGCAGGACTGGGCCTCTCTCTGTTTTTCACTAGCAGCCTAACTGCTTCACCTCCTCTCCTTACCCTATTATCTCCCCCTCCAAATGCTATTCAAATGAGGAAGGCCAGCTCTCTGAAAGGAATTAAGTATTATGATTGCGATTTGTCTTCAGGGTATCTGCCCATTTAGCAGGTCCAAGAAAAGAGGTCAGAGGTAGATATTTAGAATCAGGAAATCACTGGTCATGTGTTGTTTCTTGGGTCTGTTCCCTTTCATAAAATGTTCTAGAATACAGTGTGGCATCATTTTGAACTTGGGCATTTTCAGTGTGTGGAGATTTAGGCGGTGGGAAGTGTAGATTTCCCACACTGAAACTTCTGCAGAGTCTTGTAGACCAAACAGATTATGAAAGTCTTCATAAGCATAGAATTTCCTAGAAGAATCTTGCACAGAAAATGGTATAGCCTACTTACAACAAAAGGCTCCAAACAAAAACATTCTAGGTATTTCAGAAGCAGTAACACTGAAGATGGGAGACCATATATTTAAGAGCCTATGATGGCATAGACATTTCTTGGAAGCCTGTAAAACAGAGTCATTAGGTGGAGTTATTTTACTTATTTAAAACAAAAGGGAACCTCAAAGCATTACTAAGTTTGCTTTCAAAATTATCCTTGCAGTTATGATAGCATTTATAGGCAACATTATCATGCCACTTTGGTCCATGGTTTGTGCTGATCATATTTTTGTATTAATAAACCACAGAAAAGGAGAGATAATTGATTATCATCAAAAGGGTCACTCTTTGTAAGTACATGTTTAATATCCATCTTAGGGGACCCCTGATTCCTAGGGGCCAACAAAGGTAATAATGGGGATTCATGAAAAACTTTACAAATTTGATGAAACAGAATTTAAATTTACCTTATATAAGATTGCATAGCTCTGCCAAGTTTTTACTTTAGGCTGAAATTGTATCATGCTGATTTTATATTATGTCATGCTGACTTTTAGCTCCTGCTGGTCATACTTATACAATGTTCTTAGTCAAAAGGGAAAAACATATTGACAATTATTTTCTCGATATAGTTTGGTAGTTCTAATCATTCAAAACATGGAGTCTACCAGGGGGAAATGGGAAATGTTAAACAGTGACAGTTTGAGCCAGGTATTCAGGTAAAGACATTGCCAGAGTCACCTGGAACCTTTTTTTTTTTTTTTTTTTTGCCCCTTATAGTTTGCATTCCCGCAAACTCAGTATTTAGTCCTGGGCCCATCTCAAGGAATTCATCCATTCTAACTGATTAAACTAGCCCATGTGCTGATGATTGCCAAATTAGTATTTCCAATTTGGACCTCATTCCTCAAGCAGATCATTTTCCATTTCCTTTGGAAATCTTGTTGTGAAGTGCAGAATCAGTTACCATGTATAACAGTAAATATTCTCTGCATAGAAAGTAATGTAAATCGCATCCCTCATTATACTAGGAAAGACTATTATTACTGGCACGTCCACAAGCTCACACACATGTACATCTTGAATATATGAGTTGAATATTGTCTCTGTTGTTTTAATAAGATCAAATTTTTAAAATGCATGAAATAATTTTAGTCTTATAAAATATCAAAGGAATCTAGCTGGAATCTTGCAAATTTGGAGGAAAGCAATAATTTTTAAACACTGTTAACTTGGTTCACCCCTTGTGTCTTCTTGTAGATGAACATGGTCATGTCCCTCCTGGGGATGTTCTGTCCAACATTGTTTGACTTATTTGCTGAATTGGAAGACTACCATCCCCTCATCGCTCTGAAATGGCTCCTGGGACGCATTTTTGCTCTTCTTTTAGGCAACTTGTATGTATTTATTCTTGCCTTGATGGATGAGATTAACAACAAGGTAAATCTTGTGTCTGGATTGTCCTTGCCATCAGCATGTTGTTAGATTCCCAATCTCAAGATTGCCAGAAATGCCTTAGAAATCTCTGTTGTCTTTATTTTTGTTTCCATTCCTCTGCTTTCTAGATTGAAGAGGAGAAGCTAGTAAAGGCCAATATTACCCTATGGGAAGCCAACATGATCAAGGCCTACAATGCATCACTCACTGGAAATACCACTGGGCCACCCTTTTTTGTGCACCCTGCAGATGTACCTCGAGGACCCTGCTGGGAAACAATGGTGGGGCAGGTAATGTCACAAACAGAAGTGCATAACAGTTAATGGATTAAAAAAGAGCAGGGTCACTATTTCTTCCGTAAGCGTGGCCTGTTTTTTATTGCTTATTAATGAAAATAGCTGAGACTTATTGACTGTTCACCATATGCTGGCTGTGAATTTCATATATATTATCTCTTATAGTCCTCACATGCATCCATTCAGGTAAGTAGTACCTTTACACCCCTTTTACAGTTGCATGTAAAGGAAGGATATTTTAAAATGGTCTGAGGAAATGTTTACTATCTATCTGTGTTATAATAAAACACCCAGATTTAGATACAACCCAAGTAAATATTTAAGTGGAACTCTAGTTAGTGTTACCTTTTTTTTTTTTTTTGCGGTACGCGGGCCTCTCACTGTTGTGGCCTCTCCCGTTGCAGAGCACAGGCTCCAGACACGCAGGCTCAGCGGCCGTGGCTCACGGGCCCAGCCACTCTGCCGCATGTGGGATCCTCCCAGACCGGGGCACGAACCCTTGTCCCCTGCATCGGCAGGCAGACTCTCAACCACTGCACCACCAGGGAAGCCCCAGTGTTACCTTTTTTCCATAAAAAAAAGAAAAGATTCTTTTGGGAGCATACACTAATACTCATTTCAATAATGTTAATTTTTGTCAAATAATTGCCCCTTAAGCATGAAAGGAAATACTATTTTAGGTTTGTTGTTTTCAGATGACTGTATAAATGACCCCAGTCCAAGACTAGTGGTATTTTAGCAGATAAAAGAAATAATGTTTCATATGGCTTTCTGTTCAATAAAGGGAAACCAAACCAAACAAAAACAAAAAACCTACTTCAGGTCTCTTATTTCTATACAAATCCAATTTATATTTTGAAAAGCCTTTAATTTTATCTCATTAGAATTGACATTCCTCATGTGCACTTCATAAACTGATTTTGGACTTTGGTTCATCCTTGATGGACAGACATTTTAAAATATGTCATAGTGCTTCTGTCTGTCAGACAACAGTTCAGTTTCAGCAGTAATGTGGTCTTTGGGAAATTATTTGAAATAATTTTTTACTGTGCACTTATTTTTTTGTAAGATATATGGAAAATTGAAAGTTAGCATTAGTCTTATGAAGCTAATTTAAACAAATACAGATATCATTAGATGTCCTCAGCTTCAGATACTCATCTGACTTAAGCCACTCATCTATGATTTCAACTGTGGGAAAAAGTAAGGAAAATGTATATAATGCTAGACAGACGTCACTGAAGACCAAGTCCAAAATGTATGATATAAGTAAGGATTCTATTTTATTTTTTAGGCTTTTAGGGACCAGATAAACCCTTCCCTTTCCAGTTACATGTTATTAAATACTTGATTTTCAGACATGCACATTTCATACACATTTACAGGAACATACTATGTATGCAATAATAAATGAAATGAAACCTGCCTGCAGTTGGTAGAGAGATGCTTGTGATACATGATGTGGTAGACAGAATAATAACCCCTCAAAAACGTCCATGTTCTAATCCCTGGAAACTGTGAATATGTTACCTTACATAGTAAAATGGACTTTACCAATGTGATTAAGTTAAAGATCTGGGGATAGGAAAATATCTTGGATTATGCGGTGAGCCTAACAAAATCACACGTGCTTATAAATGGGAGACAAGAGTCAGTCAGAAAAACTGGCTGTGACAGTGGAACCAGAGGTTGGAGAGATGCGCTTTAAAGGTGGGGGAAGGGGTCCACAAGCCAAGGAATGCAGGTGGCCTCTGGAAGCTGGAAAAGGCAAGGACACAGATTTCGCCCTGAGGCCTGCACCTTGATTTTAGGCTTCTGAACTCCAGAACAGTTTATGTTTATGTTGTTTTAAGCCACTAATTTTGTGGTAATTTCTTACAGCAGCAATAGGAAGTGAATACACAGGAGTATATGGGTTTCCATGTTTTAAAACTCCTTGAAGCAAAATCTGGTCACGGCACTTAACACAAGTCTGTTTTATCACATCTAGGCGGCTCCCTAAATCTTCAGCAAGAGTTGAGAGAAGTGAAAAAATATAAAGTGGAGTTTTCACAAACTCAAAGAGCTTGAGATATTCTCTTATGTACATCCCAGAATGCAGACTGGCATGAGGGCTAAGCAAACCACCCTTTACCAGGCAAACACCTGTTAAATAAGATTAATAGAACTAACTGTAAAGAATAAGGTGGAAGCTGCTCACTTCTGAGTCAGAGGCAGCAATTAATTAGACATGAACGTCATGCAATTTAGAATACTTATTTTCTGATTATGCAGAAGCTTCTGGGATGCTCCCACACACACTGAATTAAAATAAAGAAAAAATTATTTAATTCTTCTTCTTGGGAGCCCTTGTACTGTGCAGCTTGTCTTGTCCTTTTTTTTTTTTTTTTTTTTTTTAAATCCTGTCTCTATCTAGTGGTTTTCCTTGCTTCATCATCTTTTCTTACTGCAATTTGTAGTTGGGTTTCCCTTTTCTCTTTCGCCTTCCTTTCTCTAAATGAATATTAAGCGCTTGTGGGAAAGTCTGCAGGAGCGGCAGGAGGGAAGGGCTGTGGTTCTGAAACATTTATTTTACCCACTTTTAAAACAAAGTGATTCCAGAAGAAATAGTAAAAGGCAGCTGCTTTGCACGGAATGTTGGAGATATAACCCCAAAGACTTGTTCATTTTTCTATGAGAACATTCCAGATATTTTCTCTTCTTCTCCATGGGTGCCCTCTGCTCTGTTTTTCCTCAAGGATACTGTGGGACTTAATCTCTTTTTGAATTTGAATATAGGAATTTGGTGGCTCCTTTATGTCTCCAGGGAATCTCAAGATGTAGTCACTTAGTCTCATCTCCAGTGACATTTGATAGGTAGGCAGCAGAGCCATACTTGGGAGACCGCTCTTTGAAGCTATATACTTAGGTCTGCATTTTGGCAAAGGAGAGAAAGCAGACAACAGCTGAAGATAATGACAATAATAGCTCACATTTATCGAATGCTTCTTGTGTGCCAAGCATTACCTCCTTGAATTTTTAAATTACCCTCTAAGTTATATCATTATCCCCATTTTATAGATGAGGAGACTATGACTTAGAAAGGTAAAATAATTTGCTCGAGACCTTAAAGAAAGTCAATGACAGGAGCCCAAATTTTACCTACAAAGTCTGATTAGAGTTTGTGTCCTTCTCCATAGTGCTGAACCGTCCTCCAGAAACATAATTAGCATCAACACATACTCCCAGACTCCTGCCATGGAATATCTGTGGCCCTTTGTGATGCCCCGTCTCTATTATTTTCCCTTCACTTGCTAATGAGCCTCTTAGGTTTACTGACCAAATACATGTCAGGAGAGTAAAGTGTGAGGTGTGGAGTGCAGTGCTCTGCAGAAGGCCTGTGTGGAGGCCATGCTTCCATCCTAGCACACTAGGAACTGAAATTGGATGATGATTCCTTGGTGGGCTGGACAACCATTTTTGGAATTTCCTTTCTTATAAAGCAGTGTATCCCTTCTATGTTATATTAATAAATATTTTTACATTTTAATATAATGTTTGAATCCTCTTCTGCTATTTTATGTGAAAGTTAGGACATCGCTTAGGAAAAATATTGTATTTCAACCATTGGGATGAGGATGCTTAGGAAGTTGTGGAGGACTTCAAAACCACTCTGAAATATTTTCTTTCTGAGGAAGTCTTCCCAACCTGGTGGTGGAAACCTAAAAATATCCCTCACAGCCTACTTCTAATTGATGCTAGTTATTAGAATCTGAACTCAAATTGCCTGGGGAATGAAAAGGAGAATAAGAGTAGGGAAGAGAAAAGTTATATTCAGAGATAACCACAGGAATTTACTATCACTCAATCGCTCACTCCATATTTATTGAGTGCAGACTAAGTGTCAGGTATTGTGCTAGATACTGGAGGTGCAATGGGGAACAAAGGCGGACCCGGTCTCTGCCGTTGTGACAATTACAATCTCGTGACAATTACAATCTCTTGGGAACAAAGCCATTAATTAAATAATTATACAACATTTGCAAATTTACAATGGCAACAAAGCACTACAAGAATGCAATGCATGCATTCAGAAAAGCTTGCCCCTAGTCATCCAGGTGAGGGACTTCCCTAAGTTAGTGATGCTGTAGTGATGCATATTAGTTGGTGTAAACTGAGTCAAGAGGTGAAGTAAGATTGAGTAGCGTGAAGACCACATGTAAAGACCCTATGGCCTAAAGAAGTATGGAGTTTGAGGGTATGAAAGAAAGCCAGTGGGACTGGAGTAGAGAAGACAAAGAAAAATATGGAGAGCTAGACAGAAATCGGATTATATAGACACATGGATTATGCAGAAACCTCACACTCACCTTTTTACTCCAGCTGTTGCTGCAGCAAACGACTGCATGCAGCTGTTACAAGACAGTATCTCAACTGAGTTGTATACAGATTCTCACCTTTACCCTGCTTCTCTGCTGTCACCAAATGGGGCGTTAATACCACATGGGGCCATCCCTGACTGATGGGAATGGGAGCTGGTGGATCAATACTTCCCTTTTCTGTCTCTTGGGTGGACAGTTCTGAGACTTATTCTATATGGCTACTCAGCGGGTCCCCAGAAGAATCAAGACCCAGTTGCCCCAGTAGTGACAGCTTTTAACACTCTCTTGGGTAAAGGTTTTCTCTCCTTTCCTGTTTCATTCTTTTCCATCTCCACCCCTGTTCTTTGATAGCATTTCCCAAAATACACTACTGGCTCACAGGCAGTACTTTTTTTTTTTTTTTTTGCGCTACGCGGGACTCTCACTCTTGTGGCCTCTTCCGTTGCGGAGCACAGGCTCCGGACGCGCAGGCTCAGCGGCCATGGCTCACGGGCCCAGCCGCTCCGCGGCATGTGGGATCTTCCTGGACCGGGGCACGAACCCGCGTCCCCTGTATCGGCAGGCGGACTCTCAACCACTGCGCCACCAGGGAAGCCCCAGGCACTACTTTTGATGGGAACTAATGCCAAGATAATTCTTTTACATTTATAGTTTAAAGTTTTCAGTATAATTTTTTTAGCTTTTAATATATTTATATTATAGTTAACTACGGTTTATGGCAGATGGTATACACCTTCTATTTACAATAGTAGGAGTTATTTTTTTAAAATAAAGTATATTAAAGTTAAAAGAAATATTAGGTAAATAATATTTCAGATAGTACTTGGACATGGCAAGAATCGTGAAGGTGGTACACGACTACTTGGAGTTTAGGAAGCACTGCTCTGAAGTATGGGACTGGAAATTAACCAGATAACTGCTAGTCAGATGGGCCTTGCCCTGTGATGTGATTCTTTCTCACTAGTTATTTTAGAGGTGAGATTATATAGGTAGCTGGAAATAAAAACCAGAAGACTTCTTTTATTATAGAAGAACACTGTATTTCTGGAAAAATATGTCTTATTAGATATTCCATGTCTTCAGTCTTAGGGCACGAATTATTGGGAAGGAGCAGAAGAAAACGATCATAATGAAAATTTATAATTATATGTCTACTCTTATATTTATTGCCTATTGTTATAAGTTCCATGAGGAAATAGTGAACTTCCCCTCTAACCCACAGCATACACATTTTGCATGTAACTTCAAGTCCACACCACTGAGGTAAAAAGTTTCTAATTTTCCAGACCTCTTCTATACATATACATGTTATGCATATACATATATACATGTATGTATATATGCGTAGGATTTTTTGTTAATAAGTGGGTTCATGCTACATATCCTATTTTGTAAATTTTTAACAACCCATTTCTTATCTGAACATAGCATTTGAGCGCTTTTTAAACAAGTTTATTGAGATATAGTTCACATACCATACGTTTCACCCATTTAAAGTACACAATTCAGTGGGTTTTGGAATATGTTCACATTGTTGTGCAGCCATAATCACAATAGCACTTTGTTTAAGAGCTCACAATGTTCTGTTGTGTGGACACCCGTTATTATTTAATTAATTTCCTCTTGAGTATATTTGAATTGCTTCCAATTTTGATCTGGGAGAAACAATGCTTTCATAATTATATGTATAGATTTGGACATTTGTGCTAATACCGCCATAGGATACATTTCTAGAAGTGGATTTTCCTAATAAAATCCACACACTTTAAAAGGTGATGGATCTTCACAAACGTCCCCCCACACACAAATGTTGCACCAGTCTAACTTTCCCTTCTAACTGTCAGTTTACGACAGTGCCTATTTCACCACACTCTCACCAATATGGAAAAGCATGGATTTTAAAATATTTATCACTGTGTGGAGCAACAATTTATTGTTTTGATTGTATTTTTATAATGTAGGATTTAGGTATTTTTGAATATTTTAATTAACTGTATATTTTCTTCTTATTTGTGCCATTTGCCATTTTTTTCCTTATTGAATTGCCCATCGATTGTTGTACTGATTTGTAAAAGTTTTTAATGTGTTAGAAAAGCTAGTTCTCCATCATATATGCCACAAGTACTTTTTCCAAGCTTGTCTTTTAATTTTATAAATAAAAAATTTATTTTATAAATACATTTATTTTATTATCTGCTGTTTGCCAGATTCAAGTTTTAAACTTCTGTGTTGTCATTATTTTCCTGTTTTGTGTTCTCATGTCATGCTTATAAAAGTTTCTCAGTAGGAAGACTTCTGATACAGTGGTTTTGGAGCAGGAAATAATTATTTTTAGACTAATAAAATAGGGGTGAAACATTTTTTACTTGCTAGATATGACTAACTAGTTTCTTTACCATTAGTTGCAGTTTTCAAGTTAATACTATTTAGAAAGCATGACAAATTCGATGTTAACATTAGGACCATTTGAAGGGAGAAATGCTCCTTTTAATACAGATAATATCTCAACAGGAATTTGTGCGGCTGACCGTTTCTGATGTTCTGACCACCTACGTCACAATTCTCATTGGGGATTTTCTCCGAGCATGTTTTGTGAGGTTTTGCAATTACTGCTGGTGCTGGGATTTGGAATATGGATATGTAAGTGTGATATTCATTTTTCTCTTATCAGATTATTCCTTTGTGCTTAGTCATTTACATATACCATGCAAGAATAAGAATTTAGGAGGTGGGATTGTCTTTTAGATGTCAATAAATGAAGACCAATGAGTATAGTTTTAATTCAGAAGGGGGTCAGACTTGAGTCTCATGGCTTACAATAGTCTAGCAAAAATAGATTCTAGTAAAATTACAGATGGCTAAAGCAGCGGACTTCAACCTATCTGTTAAAATGGTGAACTCCATAAATCTTGGGCCCATAATCAGCTCCCTCCCCATGAAGCTTGCTGGCATTTCTAGAAGCAGGGCAAGGTGAGTAGTATCAACTGCACATTTTCTGTTTGCTTTGAATTCTATTAAGCAACTGCTGGACACTTATCAAGTGCGTCACTGTGCAGTACGCTGGGGGGAGAAAGGAGTCAATGAACATGCTGCTTGCTTCATAAAGCTCACAGTCTAATGAGAGCTCAGCAGAGACACAAGCTGGGGGCTCTGAAAGGCTCAGGGTACTGACAGGGCTCTGGCAACTGGTGGAGTAGAATTCCGGCGAGTTGATTTCCTTCCCCACAACAACAGCACAGGTTTCTCTGAGCCCCACTGGTGTTGATTCCATCACCAGCCCCCCACTATGCTCAACCCCAGGTCCCCCAACAAAGTTTGAGGGCGCAGCAAAGCACACATCTCTCTGTCCGCCTTTTGCAAATGAAACTGTCATCTTGGGAAATAGGACCTGAGGAGTTGCTAGTATTGATACTCATTTGCTCAAGTATTTCCAGTGGCTTCTAAGTATTCAGAATGAATTCCAAATCCCTGTTCAAGGCCATCGATACCCTGTGTGATCTGCTTCTTTTTTTCTCTCTGAGCTCATCTCCTACCACTTTCGCTCTTGCTTTGTAAAGTCCACAAACACTGGGAGTCTTTCTTATGCTCAAATACAAGATGCTCCTTGCATCTGCCCAAATTGTTCTTCCCTCTAGGGGTGCAGGTTCCTAGAATTTGCCAGGGCTGATTCTTGTCATTAAGGACTCACCCCTAATATGTCACCTCCTTTGAGCTTTCCTCTGACCTTCCAATCCAAGGTGGCCCATCAGGCACTCTCTATTTCAGCACAGTTTTCTTTTCTTTATACGATGTATAACTGTTTGACATCTCCTTTTTTGAACGTGCTTATTATCTGTCTCCCTCTGTTGTAATGAAAGCTTTCTGAAAACAGAGGCCTTGACCTCATGCTTAGAGCTGTGCTTGTCACATGGCAGGTATTATGTTGTCTGGCTGGACTGGCTGACTCAGTGTTGAACCTCCACATCCTAGCGCCATCAAGGCAACGCCGTCTACTGACAGAACTCTGTCTGCTTCCAGGGATGTGCCCTGGAATCAATTCTGCCCTAGTATTCTTGAGCTAATGATGTTTCTCTTCTCACCAGTGAAGGGATATCCTTCCCTGCTGGTCTTCCTCCTGTCTCATGCCCTCTAGTTTCTGGACAAGTCCTACGTTCAGAACTGTTTACAGGACTCCAGGCTAGATTCTCTACCTGGCTACCTGACTTTGAGATTGTACCTTTTATTAGGTCATCTGTCTCCCTCACTGAAAGTGTTTCTTGGAGGAGCCAGAAGCAGTTAGGTCATACTGTTTGGTGGACGACGGTGAGGTAATGCTATAGATCCAGAATGCCCTTGCATTGCTTTCCCATTCCCTGCTATGAGGTATTCAGCTGGCTTGGTTTCATTTCTATTTTCCTTGCCTGATTCAGCTCTTCTGAAGCAGACATAAAAATTGCCATTTCTTTCTTAGACCATCACTTGGCTTATGTTTGCCTTTGATCCCTAACTGCTTTCTTCTTAAGTGCTAGAAAATTTTGCTTCACATATGAAGTCAATATAACATGACCTGGATGCATAAAAGCTGTAATTATATGACCGTAATTTATAATTTATTGAGTGCTGACAGTGCTCTTGGGTTAGAACAAAGTACAGGAAAAAAGACAAGTTTCTGTTTTAGGTCAGACAGAGTGAATTTGCTTCCATGTTACCTTTGGAAGGCTCATCAGAGAGAAGCTCAGCAGCAAAACAAGTTTTAAATCATTAAGGTTGGATGATGGATCTTTGATATGGATCTTATTATCACTGACCCACCAGGTGGATAGCTTACACAGCTGAGTGCCTGCTAGGTACAAACCATTGTGAGCAAACCTCTGTGCCTGCTGACAAGAGGATACACAGATGTAAAAGCTGTAAGCCTAAGGAGAGGTTGCAAACGTGGGTCTGCAGGCTAGATTCAACTGACAGATATTTTTTTCTCTCGTCTGCAGTGTTTGTTTGCTTTTTTGTTTTTATGAGCTAATATTTTAAAGCTTGGAGTTTTACATTTAAAAAATATGGATTTCTTGGGACTTCCCTGGTGGTCCAGTGGTAAAGAATCCACCTTCCAATGCGGGGAACGCGGGTCCGATCCCTGGTCAGGCAACTAAGATCCCCCATGACGCGGGGCAACTAAGCCTGCATGTCACAACTACTGAGCTCACACGCCTCAACAAGAGAGCCCGTGTGCCGCAAACGCATGCGCTCTGGAGCCTGTGCACCACAACTAGAGAGAGAAAACCCGCATGCCACAACTAGAGAGAAGCCCGCGTGCAGCAACGAAGAGACCACGTGCTGCAATGAAAGATCCCATATGCTGCAACTAAGAGCCGACACAGCCAAAAAAAAAATTTATGTATGTGGATTTCTTGTTTTTCTTGACATATTGAAAGGCCTGACAACATTAGACCCATATTCCCACTCTGGAGAAATTGGCTGGAGCTGAGGAATTACTGCCCTCTTCTGGTGGAACATTCATTCACCGATTCCTCACACTCTTTGCTACCCTTTAATCCTGCAAGCTCCCGTTGTCAGCACAGAGCAGGAAATGTAATTGCACATTGGAGAAACCACTGTGGGAGAGATCAATAGAAATACAAAGACAGGATGGAGTAAGAGACATTTGAGCCAAGTCTTGAAGGAGGATCAGAATTTCAAAAGACTGAGATGGAAGAAAGAATTCTCAGTGGACGGGCTGATGGAAGGCAGGGCCCAGCAGCTGGAAAGTATGGGTGGTGCAGGCAGAGATGCAGAAATCTAAAATGGAAATGTTTTAGAGGATAAGAGGCCGATGAGAATGCTTCTTTGATATTCTGGACTTATTAATTGCCAGTATGAGTCCAGAAAGTACCTGTCATTGAAGCAAAAGAGAACAGAGAAGATGGGCAGAGAAGATACTTTTAAGAATCCTTTCAGGAATGAAAGAGAAAAATGTGTCCATTTCTGCCACCAAAAAAAAGAATTTTTTTTTCTGAACTTTAAAAATAATACCAGTTCATTGTTTAAAAATCTGGAAAAGGTAATATAAGCTTAATATGGAAATAAAAATACAGGTAATCCCACCACTCATGACATTACTTAGTTAATTGAATTGTAGAGTATTAGTATTTATTTATATGTAGATAAACAAGTACTATAGATTTATATATAGTACTATAGATTTTTATAAAAATATATTGGCATGTATCCTATTGACTAGTTACTTGCTTTTCTTCACCTAACAGTGACCTTTTCTCTATGTTATTAACTGGTCTTCTATAATTTTTAAATGGCTGTGTGATAGTCTACATATGAATGTACAATAACTAGTTATTTTTTATTTGTTGTTAGTTAACTGTACCTAATGTTTTATTATTATATTAAACATTGTGATCGTATTTATTTATAGCCATGTAGATAAATATCTCCATAGATAAATCATAATCTTATGTAAAACTTACTTCCTTATGAGAAATTTCTCTAGGTTGAATTGCTCAGTTATAGAGAAGATATTTTTGAAAAAGTTCAGTCACTTTTATAACAATAATTAACCTCTATAAAGTCTAAACTCTGCAGACTCCAGCATTAGATTCAGAGATTCACTGAATATTAAGGTTAGGTGGAGTTTTGACAAAATCAGTCATAATGCTTTTATTTTACATATAAAAAATTAAGAGTCTGAATTGGAGTTGCCTAAGTATATAGCCAGTGAATAAATAAGGACAATGAAATATCCTTCTGGAAAAGCTATTATGTTAAATATACTGAATTATACACTGGTTATATCTGAGTAAATTGGGTTAAAAGTGACTCTGTATATTTTCCAGTTATAAATTCATGGCCAAAGTATTACCACAACAAACCTATGAAGATGAATTGAGGTGGGAAAATTACTGGCTAGGAGCAGACTGTTAGACCATGTAATGTAAGTTAATCTTTCCTAAGACTTCTCTGAGCATAGCAGGTAGTTCTCAGTGTTTCTAAAGAGTTCACTGACTCATGGGAGTGGAATGGTTTGCTCCCAGAAAGGATTTTAACCACCCTGATTCAGCAAAACCGCCCTCAGTCCTCTTGTAAACTCTGGGTTTTCTGCAATAGTTCAACACAGAATGCCTTTAACTCTCACTTTAATTTATGTTGACACCATCCTTGCCATTTGTCAATGAAGTAGGTAAATAGTATCCAGGAAGAAATGGACTGAATACATGGCATAGGGTAAGAGTATGTTCAATCTAATTAAAACCTCAGCTTGGTTAAACCTTGTTTAAAGTTACATTTTAAGGTGCTCCTTGTTGAATTTATGTGAATGGAAAATATGGGAGATTTTCCTGAGATCTGATGGAGTGCAAGATTACCCATAAACAAGAGGCATATGATTCACAGACCATCAGAGTATATTACTAATCATATTATACTGTATTATATTTTTATGTAGAGCTTGCCATGTGTTAGAACATCTACAAAATGCTTTACATATATTATTCTGTGTAACCATACCAGTAACGCTATGAGGTAGATAATATTTTTCTACTTTACAGTAAACTGAGGTTTAGAGATTTTTAATAATTTGCTCAAAGACATATAACTGGTCAGTGGTGGAGGTAGAACTGAAATCCACATCTGATTGACTTCAAAGCCGTCAACCA